TCCTCCTCTCCTCTCTCTCTCTCTCTCTCTCTCTTTCTTCGTTGTTGGATCTTTTGACATATCCAAATCTATGAATTAATACTTTGTATGTTTGCAGAAAATTACTTCCAAATTGCGTTCATTTTATCCTTTTATATTTCTCATTTAAAAAATTTCAAATAAATTGAGACATTGGCATTTGTTGACAAACAATTAACAGCCTACCTTAGCATAATTTGATGATATCCTTTTTCCAGTTTAGACATTATGATTTAATTCTATCTGTCTCTAAAGTAAGGAAAGGTAGCAACTTATTTATATGGATTAATGAAATCGATTCAATTGCAGCAACACTCAACGAAATCTATCTATCACTTTACTCTCAAACTTTTCCTTCACTTATCCAGTTAATTCCTTTTCAATCTTTCATTTTCACCTGGTTTGCCTATTTCAATTTGGTGAAAAATGAGCATAAGCGGATTATATTTACAGAAATTTTTAAGGTATCTAATTGTTTTTCAATTAAATATATGTTAAACTATTGCAGAATTCCTTTCCAGGTAAAAATCTTTTGGGAAAAAAGTTACCCGCAAAAAGAAGTCAGAAGCACAATAAGGAAAGGAGACCTTTCTTGATTAATCCTTAATTAAAAGATGGATGACGAAGAAATTTTATCAAAAATTATTGTGATTAATCAATAACTTGTAAAGATAACAGAAGATCCAGAAAAAAAAAACACAAATGAGTTTGGCTATTGGTTAGAGTAATAAAGATCGATTTAGATAGCATGAATAGAGGGAATGGCAGGAAATGAAATTGTTATGGATTTTCATTTCAATGCTGATGAAATGAAATGGAAGATTTGAAATATGCATGGCTTAGAATTCGGAAAGGATGATTATATCCTGGAATATTTAGCTGACTAACAGGATCAGGTTATACGAAGGACATTCTTTGGCATAGAAATAGAAGGGATTAAAGAAAGAAAGATCGATAAATGTGAAGTTTACAGATAGTACTGAACATGGGTTATTTGTTAAAGATCAATAGGATAAAGATATTGAAGAATTAGGATTAGAAAATTGAATTAAATGCGAAAAAAAAACAGCTGATTGCAAAGTTTTGCAAAGCATTTCCATTTGAAATAGTGAAATCGAAGGACAAATAACATTAATAGGCCAAATTGAATGTTTCAATTAGTATTAGTTGATATCGAAAATTACTGGCCACAAAACAAATCTTAGAAATGTTAATTATTGGTTGAATTGTGAAATTTGAAAAAAAAAGGAAAAAGAACCAAGAATAGCTATCATAGATAAATTTTCATAATCATGAACAGCTAGAGACTTATCGATGATTGTAGGATTATCAGGTTTCAACACTGATGCAAATTGATTATCGTTAATTTCAACAATATCCATTTCATAGAGATGAAATTTATACTGCGACTAAATAAATGATGAAAGTACAAATAACAAAAATTAATCCGGAAGAAAACAAAAAACGGGAATTTTAAATTCTCAAAAATTTTAGAATAAAAATATTAAAATGAAAGAAGAAGAAAAAAAAAGGAACTCCAAAAGCCGCCATCTTCCACTGTTGTTGTTTTTTTGATTCATTTTGTTGCAAAAGAAAATAAAACAAAAAATTATAAATTATCAGCTTTTTTTGATTATCAAATTATCATTAAAACAAATGCTAATATTAATTTTTGTTTACAATAAAGAAATAAGCGCTTAAATGTGAAAGCAACAATATCAGCTTAAAGGGTAAATGAAGATGTTTGTTATTAAATTTATTTTAAATTTTATGCTGCTTTATCAAAGATGCACAAAAAATTCCCTTTGATTTTTTTCCCCCGCCCTATCTTGATCAATATAATATCATGAAAACAATTTATCTTAATGAATAAAACGTCAAGTCTATTTTTAAAATAAATTACGTAAGAGACTTTTTTTTTTTGGTTATTTAATTATATTTAATATGCGTAATAATTCTCACTAATATAGTCAAGGTTTGTTTATAATGATGAAAATGATCATCGACCATTTCAGAGGAGCACTCATTAAGTGTGCCGGTGTTTGCCGTGGGAAAATTGCATTACTTGGTGAGGAACCGGTAGTGTATCCGTTGGCTTTAATAAGTTTTTGCTTTAGATTACACTAACGAGCCTTAGTCTTCCTTATTCATACCAATTTACTTTACTATTTTTAACTTTCACTTATTATATTTGTATATGATTCTATGGTAAAGTATGCATAAATCAATAATTATCAGAAATAATACTTCCTCAAATTTATTATCACTTTTATCAACGTAGAAAATGTCAATCATTTCAAATGATATTAAATGAAATAAATCATAGTTGAAATATCCGGTGATAAACACATTTTCATTATTATTTTTTTCTCTAAAATTTGACCAATTATTATCAATTAATTGAGGAGAGAGTAAAAACATAATGGTATTGAAATTTTAGTAATTGGTGTCAAATTGTTCAGCAGCACAAATATCCTAATGATAATTGAAAAATGATGAATAAGAAATTAAATATCAATACAACAGGCCTTGAATAGTATTAATCAAATGTTGGATAATGTGTCATCATTACAGTTAAGTTAGAATTTCGGTGAGAAAAATTGAAATAATCAATTTAGACCGAATCATACGCAATAAATTAGCTAATGAACTTTAATGGTTTAATTATGCTCTATTTGCATACTT